AAAGTTCAAAAGAATAGCATTTTTTTAAAAATAGAAATCGTTTGTAACATTATAAATGTCTTTACTCTCACTTTTGATCAATTGAATGCATCCTTGCAGAATAGATGTATTAATGATACTGACCTCAAATGTTGTAACAAATATTGGTAACAAATATTTGTAAGAGCTTTGTCACTACATGGGGACAAAAAGTGTAGTATAATTCTTGGTGCATTGCGGTAGATGAAATATAATTTATATTCAAATAGTTTCCACATAGAGAGCAACAATACATGATATTTTCCTGAGTGAGCCACCTGCTATGTAAAATGCAAAAGAAAGCCACTTAATTTGTTTGGGGAGTAGGAACTACGCAGTGAATTTATGAACACAGGAACCGTATCGCAACATTTCACCTCATTTTCTTGTGGCTGTTCTTTTTCAGTGTTGGTTCTCTCTCGTTCTTGTCCTTCTCCATCTTTTCCTTTTTCTCTTTCTTAGGCTGTGTGGGTGAAGCAAACTGCTGTGTGACTTGCGGGGCTACAGGACGAGGTTTCCTGTGGGGAAAAAAAGAGAAGACTGAGAAGCGAGAAAGCGAGATATTTTAAATCAGGGTGACATGATTCAAGCTCACCAGGGCCTGATGAAAAGGACTATGTGGGGAAAAAGCAAGTTAAAACAGGCAAGTGTTGAAGCCAGTTGAGAAATCTTGCCTACATGGAGTAATCGGAGAAGAATGTGTTTTCTCAACCGTAGAGAAACAGCCGCAATTTCACTCATCTCTTTTCCTTTCTATAGCAGGAAGAAAAAAAACTGGTAATTTAACTTCCTAATATAAGCTAACATCCCCAAATATACTAGCTTTCCCTGTCTAAACATAACATTTAAATATTTTAAAAAAATACAATAAAAAATACTGGCATTGGATTAAAAAATATATATATTTTGTAAATGAAAATTTTCTCCTTTAGTTAAAGGCACAATATAATTTTTTCGCTACTAGAGGGCGCATATTCAAAATAAACAAAGGTGTAGTTTGATGACGCCGTGACTGAGTGTGGAATCATGGGAGTTGTCGTCTTCATCCCTACAATAAAAATACTGGCATTGGATTAAGAAATATATATATTTTGTAAATGAAAATTTTCTCCTTTAGTTAAAGGCACAATATAATTTTTTCGCTACTAGAGGGCGCATATTCAAAATAAACAAAGAACAAAGGTGTAGTTTGATGACGCCGTGACTGAGTGTGGAATCATGGGAGTTGTCGTCTTCATCCCCACAGTCGATGCAATCCGATAGGACTTGGGCAGAAATCATGTTCATGTATGAGCTAATGATTTATTAACGTAGTAGAATGAAGCAGGGTGAGGCTGAAAGCCGTAGAAGCGAAACGAGGCTGCTGAACGAGCGTGACACACAAAATACTGGCATTGGATTAAAAAATATATATATTTTGTAAATGAAAATTTTCTCCTTTAGTTAAAGGCACAATATAATTTTTTCGCTACTAGAGGGCGCATATTCAAAATAAACAAAGGTGTAGTTTGATGACGCCGTGACTGAGTGTGGAATCATGGGAGTTGTCGTCTTCATCCCCACAGTCGATGCAATCCGATAGGACTTGGGCAGAAATCATGTTCATGTATGAGCTAATGATTTATTAACGTAGTAGAATGAAGCAGGGTGAGGCTGAAAGCCGTAGAAGCGAAACGAGGCTGCTGAACAAGCGTGACACACAGTTTGAAAGCAGCAGAGCTTTTATTATTATTATGCCACAGTCAACCGCTTCCACTCCTTCTGGTCGTGCGTATTAGTGATTAAACGGATCGTAGTTGATCCGTGATTCGTACAGACCAAGCCCCACGGTTCGGCACGCATGTGATCCGCGGATTAATTGCAAAATTTAACCTTAATCGAGTGAAAGATTATCAATTGTATTTAATTTACACACACAAGCGATTCTAAATCTTTCTAGCGAAAGAATAGGCGAAATGGAACTCTATTCGTTACTCGGGCGCTGTTTTCTATCACACCCACACATGAAGCTCGCACACGCAGAGAGGTGCGTTTGACTGCGCCCGAACACCAAACTGAACCATCTTTCCCATCTCATTCACTCCTTGCCTTTGAACAGATGCATAGAGCCTACACATAAAATTATGACAAAATACCGATCTCGACAATCATTGTGGCAAATGCAGTCTGTTGTGTCTTAAGTGAACGAGAACAGCTGAGAAAGAAATCGGATGTGTATCATTAGGCTATATTGGATCCGTGCATCAGGTCTTAAAGGGGCAGCAGCCTAATAATACCTGCTGCTGTCTTTATGCTCATCAAACCACAAAACACATTTTTGACAAAGATGTGTTTTTTAATTTATACAGTGAACACTATGCAGTTTTATTTTACACTTAATTATTAAATTTCTGTATCTGAATACTACCGACCTTATTTGTAACATTGTTCTGTTGTATTTATCTATGCTTGTATTTGTGTAGCCTATTTGTTCTTATTTTTACTGGTTGTTCACTTGTCTCTTTAATAATGTTTGAACCTTCTTAGGCTAAGAGTTTTTGCTGTGGTATCATACTTATGGAAAGCAAAGTTACATAGATTTTTCTTCTTCTTGCTGATCTGAAAAACGATCCGATCTGAGGCTCAAAAACCGTAATATGATCCGAACCATGAGATTTGTGATCCGTTGAACCACTAGTGCGTATGTGGGGGGGAAAAAAGCAGCACTGTTTTATCATACTAGATACGTTTGAAAGTTCTGTTATAATAATTAGTTTGTGTCCATTTTTATTTCAGTTTTAGGTACATGGTATATAAATAAATAGAAATAAAATGCAAATAGATTGCAATAACACTATCGTACTAATTAAGAGATTAACTTTGGCAGCCCTAAAAAAAACTAGACTGACAATAAAAACTGAAGAGAGAGAATTATATAATTATATATACAGTGTAATAACTACAAGAAGGGCTGTTCTAGCAATTTCTGATTGGCCATTTACATCCATAGGTTCAATCTGGATCTGGTGTTTTAAATGGATTTTTATTATGATTATACAGTGGGGATTTTTAAGTGGGAGAACTTGCACAATTGGTGGCTGACTAAATACTTTTTTGCCCCACTGTGTGTGTGTGTGTGTATATATATATATATATATATATAAAATCATAATACAAATCCATTTAAAACACCAGATCCAGATTGAACCTATGGATGTAAATGGCCAATCAGAAATTGCTAGAACAGCACTTCTTGTCCTAATGTTGTCTGTTAGTAGAAAACTGTATTGCTGTTGTCATTTCAAGTTGTTGCACCACTAATTAACAACCTGACAGCTGCGGCAATTACAGATTATATCTAGGCCTATGAGCTGAACTAACCTATACTGATCTCAGATCAGAGCTCAGGGTGAAGTCCCATCAGTAGCGTGGCATTTAGAACGACAGGGATGCACCGTGAGTGTTGCTCTAATGTCAAGAACAACAGCCGTTACAGCAAAAACAGTCCACAACAGAGCATTATGAAGGCCAGCATCGCTGCCGTCTGCTTTGCCAACACACACAGTGATTTTAAAAACAGCTTCTCAGTATCTGTGCGCTGGTGCAATGTTTACGCTTTCATCCATTACCCCCGGGTGCTTTGGGAATAGCTAATGAAGTTACACATTGTGAAATTAGGACATCTAGAGCCTTAAAGCATGGCAGCCAAGAACCAGTCATTAGCATTGATCCCGAGCCCAAGGCAAGTGAAAACAGCCATTATTAGTTGTTGTTAGCTGTCTGCCTGCCTCGCTCTCTGCTGCATGTCAAGACCTGGCTGCTTGCTGTGGACTCTTAAAACCCTTCACACTCAGCGCTGTTAGTAAATCAATCGATCACTTTGTGATGTATTTCCTCCGTGCCAGACAGAGCAAATCGGCATTAACATTGCTGATCCTGCTTATTTTTGAACATTTGTCATGAGGGAGAGATATTTTGTGAAATTACTCCGTCATTAGTCACTATCCATCTCACACATATGTGTTGCAACTACGCTTTATGTAATCCGTGCGATTAGTTTGTATTTATCCTTTACAGTAATGCATAAAGGCAAAGTAAGCCAGTTAATATTAGATTTATTTTGCAATAATGACAATAATAAAATTTTCTTAAAATGTTTAATGTTTTAATTATATTTTTATGATGTGTAAACCAATTCAGTCAATAAAGGGATGCACTGCTAATCTAATAATTAATTGTATTATGTTATGGGTGATAACTTACAAATTGCAGATTAATACAATTTTATACTATTCTGTAACACACAAAACTAAAACAATTTAAATCAGACCATAACATCAATTTAGGCAACACAACATTATAATGTACAGTATGAAATTGGATATTCCTTTTGAGATTTGCAAAATATTAGTGTTTAATGTAAAAAATAGAAGAAACTAGCATGTGCAATCAAATATACAATGTTTAATATAGAAATAAAAAAACAATTCTAATAACGAATATGGTACCAATATATATTGTGTATTCTTAGCAAAATATCACTGAAGTCTCTCACACTAAAACTTAGACTCTCTTACCTAATTTTTTTAACTTGTTAAATAAAGCCTACGTATTGAATTTCATCATAAAATCACATCGATGTCAGCTATTACATTAAACAGTTACCAAATGTGTCTACAAAGGCGTCTTCTTTTGCAGAAGTGCACAAACAAAACACATTTTCCCACATTACTGTGCTAAATCAGAAGGACACGAGGGCTGCGTTCTGTCCTCTGAGCCAAGAGTCTCTCAGATGTGTTCATATCTGCATGTTTGTATAATGGCGTAATGACTGTACCGGGGAGACTTGTATACTCATGGGCTTGAGTGATGGGAGGGGACACCATGATTAATGCACTACACTGTGTGAACATGCAGTCTCCATACTGCTCCTTCCTTCGCTCCACTGCCAAGCCCCCTGTTTGACAGATGGCCCTCTGCCTCCCACCGTCCCACCTCTCCACGCTGTTTTCAGTTCTTTCCAAGCTTCTGCATTTCCTTTAGCTGCTTTACAAAATCCCACACTGCAGTTCCACATTGCTTCTCCCTCGCTTCAGTATCCGGCTTTCTCTCCTTTCATCAAAGGCCCATAACTGTCTGAATCAAAATGAGGTCAACCCGTTTGAGACGGTACGGGCATGCGCCTTCACATGCTTTAGCAAACTATACGCAAAATTTCTCTAATAAATGACAACAGGCTCTTGTAATTACTGAATAAATGTGGATGTTTTATGTGGCTTTTTGTTTATTTGGCAGAGGCATGCTGGGAACGCTTCCTCAGACTGCATTAGTTTCGCCTTTTTGGGCAAAGAGATGAGAACTTGCAGTGCAGCGCTCTGGGTTTCTGCACACACACAATTAGAGAGGATTTCACATGCTGCTTAACTCTTTCAAATGCCACACTGTAGCAAGTGACTAGTCATCTAATAACCGACACTATATAAGCATGTGAAAGCCATGGTATAGTTTATATATAATAATGCATATAGCTACAAATTAT